CCCTTCCCTTCCCTTCCCTTCCCTTCCCTTTTTCCCTTTCCTTTTCCCCAGGGTCTCCCTGCAGTCTGGCTGGGGGGCTCTGAGCACCTGCAGATGTCCCTGTTCAGTGCATAGAATGGGACCAGATGGTCTTTAAAGATCCCTTCTACAACAGAAGAAAATAAAACAGTTCTACTAACCCCAAATTGGTGCCCTTTCAGTATCTTACCTCTGCAAAGACTCACAATGCCTTGATTTTTATTTTATATTTTCTTCAGATCATTATTTCTAAAGCTGAAATGGACAGTGAAAATGGGAAACACCACAGCCTCATTCCTCTGTGTGCTCCATCCCGCTGCCATATGCTACAGAGAAAGGCAGACTTCTCTAAGCTCTAACACAGAATCCAGGAAGAAAGAGGGGTTTTTTTACAGATCTGATCTTTGAAAAGATGAAATTTCCTCTCCCTGACTTGCAAATTCACCCCTACAGGCACTGCTGTCTGTTCCCAAAGAGCCTCCCAGCCATGGTTTGTTTTCCTACAGATACTGCAATCCTAGGTACTGCGATCCTATTGCCAGGCTCCCTTTGCTCTTCCCACCCAGGGCTGGCACCCAGAAAGGAGGGAGCCACAGAACTCTTCACATTTGGTGTCAGATGAGCCCTGTTCTGGTGATGTTGGGCACGTGAAAAGCTGAAGCTGATTCTGTTCATCAAAGGGATCTGCATTGCTGTGGATGGAACCAAAGTCTGGCCCCACTTCCACATGCAGTCACTACTTTAGAGGAGGACAAATGTGTTTCTTCTTTCTGTAGCTGCCTCTGAGGCTCTTTGGGAGCACATAACCGCCTCCTCCAAAATCTGCAGGCTTTTCCTTCTACAATTATCATGCAACCATTACTCACATCCATCAGCACAACACTGTGATTGTCTTGCAATCAGGATCCTAAGAACAGCTGATCAGGGAGTGGGCGCTGCTCTTTGTTTGCACACATGCACCCAAAGCCCAATGGAGAACCTCGAATCCCAGCTCCAGAGGCAAAAAGGCTGCTTGTGTTTCCTGACCCCTCAGCCTGCAGAAAGAGCAGAGAGGAAACATATGGATCGGTTATTCTTTAATGTGGGGTTGTCTGCATCCCTCCTACTTTCAACTCATCCCAGATTTGCATCCCACCAAGCGGCCATATGGTGGCTTTGCCTCTGTGGATGGAGGGCCAAGGCAAGCTGCAGGCTGTGGGCAGCAGCTGGGCTGCTTCCAACCTGCTTCCCACCAACACGAGGCTGCACTGTGCTTACACCTGGGTGCATTTCTCCCATAGAGCTAGAGAAGTCAGGTCATTTCTCAGCAAGCAGATGAAAGAGGTTCTCATGTCTTTATGCCCAGAGAGGTTCCTGGTGGGGTCACCGGCCCTGGAGGTGTTCCAGAACCATGGGGATGTGGAACTGAGGGATGTGGTTTGGTGCCATGGTGGGGAAGGGCAGGGGTTGGACTTGGGGATCTGAGATGGCTTTTCCAGTGATTCTGTGATTCTGCTGATTCTATAATCTTCTACCAGATCCTCTCCAAGAAGAAACCTGACCTTACTGATACGGCACTCGTAGTGACTCACTCCCTCTGATGATGTTGCTGCCCTGCTCCATGCTCTCTTTCTAGAATAAGAAGCCTGCTCACTGGAGCTGCCCTGGGCCAGGGGTTGGGATAGGTTATGTGCAACAGGGGGTCCTTGCTTTTTATCTGGGGAGCATGACCAGCAGCTTTTCTGTAGGCAGCTCGGGGAGAAGAAAGCTGTCTTCCCATATCCCGCTCAGTGCTCACTGAGGTCCCACTTGATCTGGCAGCACTGCCACTAAAATAACACAGATCATTTTCAGACAGCAATGGTGAGCTGCCTCACGCCCATTGCCTACATCTCCCCCAGGCAGGGAAGACAGCCAGGACAACTTCTGCAATACACGTTGAGAAGGTTTGAGTGCTCAATCCCACTTGCTTCAGTGCAGCTGCTGTGTCAAAATCTTACAGGCATTCTGAGCAACTCAACCCAAAGGAACACTGTCCAAACCTGCTCAGGAACAGAAGCCCCTAAGAGCTCCCAGCCTCAGCCAAAGCCCAGATAACCCAGAGATGCATTCTGCCCTCTGAAAGCTGAAGGCTAGATGTGAATATGCTCTGCACAGCTCATGAGTGTGGCATTGGCGTTTCTGATTAACAGCCACTGGCCGAGGCTGTGTGTGGTTTCAGACAGAGCGGCTGCAGTGCTTTAGCAAAAGCTGCAGCAGTGATGTAGGTTGGAGCCTGCTCGTCCCACAGACAGCTGTATCTCCAGGAGGAGCTTTTGAAAGAGGAAGACCCGACCCTTGGTCTGAGTATGATGCACATTTTCCTTTTTAATATCATTTTGAAGAGTATCTGTTACCGAAAAGGGCTTATGGGGAATATCTGCTGGCTCCTGAGACGGTTATTGTAAGCAGGACTCGAGCTGCAGAAAGATCAAACACTCTCCAGCTGCTGAACTCACAGTGCCCTTTCAGCAGCTGTCGGTATCGTGCAGCTCCTGCGATCTGCTCCTTGCACACCAGCAGCTCTGACTTGCACAGCCACTGCCACAAGCAGTCCCAACTCGTGGCTGGTGAGCATCACGCTGTCTGCAGGCACTGCTCCCCTCTGGATGCTCCCTTCTCAGGGCACATTTTCCCTGTGCTGCCATGGGGACACTTGGGACAACTGCTGTCAGAGCGCACAGCCCTTGGCTGGCAGAAATCTGAGTGCTGGTTTGCACTGCATCTAAGGTGCTCTGTCCCATGTCAGCCCACCAAATCGCAGTGGGCTGGAAAATGGCTTTAGATGTGTAGCACGATGGACTGGCTCCAGCTTATGGAGCAGGTGAGGAATTCCCCTGTGCGGAACCATGTCCTTCTGCCAGGCACCCCCTGGTGTATTGGGCTGGAGCCCAATGAGAAGCTCTGTGCTTATGAGCTGCTGGGGATATGGAGCTCCTTGGTGCTATGAAGTTTCAGCTGAAGCCAAGAGAGGAGCAGTTGGAGGTGGACATCAGGAAGGGAGCTGTGCTCTCACACTGCTGATGGCAACCCAGCACAAAGCCACTTCGCTAGGACTGCAGAGGCTGCTAAAGCCAGACTGTTTCCAGGGAATATAAAACGACCTTAAACAACACAAGACTAACAGATGTGCTTGGGAGAGGCAGAGCTGCCATCACAGCTGGTTGGGCCGGACAGAGCTGAGACCCAAAGCCCCTCACACCTGCAGTGGTGCTTGGGAGCAGTGCTTCCCTGCTGCAGATGGATGCATCTCTGTGCCTTAAGGAAGCAGCACAGCCAGAGGTTGGCTCTGCCGCCCAGAAATGTGCATCTCAGAGATCCTTTTCAGTAACAATCAACAGAAAACACTGATTGTCAAATCGCCTGATGGTGACGCAACTGTTGGGCATTTGAATGTACAAAGAACAGCCAGGCAGCTTCGTGACTCCTCAGCACGTTACCACCGCCTTTGTTAAAAATATAATCCTTCCAGATAGCCTGAAAAGGAACAAAACCCCCCAGACTCAAGCCACAGCTTGTTTCCTGTAACACAAAGCCGCAGGAAAGCTCCCCCAAAGGCATAGCAGCCAAAGGATTAAATGCGTTTTTGCTTCTGCTGCTGACACATTGCTGGAGGAGCCAGAGCCCTGCAGCTCCCCATGGCCTGTCGAGCCTTACCCAGTGTGCATGACTTGCCTCTGCCGTGCTGTCAAGCAGCCATGCCAATGCCCAGCAGCAGGAGCAGTATTCAAGCATATTATCAATCTCCACCAGCTATTCATACCACTCCACTGCACAGACACACAGACAGAGCGCGATCGGAGCATGGATCGTGGCCCTTTGCTCTATCTTTTTTACACTTAGCAGCTATTTTCTCCTGCTTCCAAGCAGGTTTTGGAAAGTGTTGTTATGCTGGCACACCCTGATTGCACTTGGTTGCACCAGCTTATAAGCCATGTTGTCCCCTGTCAGAGTACCAAAGCCTGAGCCTAAAAGGTGAAAACAGAACCTTGTGATATTCCTTCCTCTGACAATCCCTCTCTTGGGGCAAAGGTCCCAAGGCGTGAGGCTGTCAGTGTGACGCTGCTCATGCCCAGCTCACAGCCTGTGTGTGCTTCCAGCCCTGTCCTTGCAAACGTGCCCCTCCAGCACAAAGGAAGGCACGCCGCTCGCTTGGCTCAGTGAAGGCACCACCAAGTGCTGCTGCAGAGACCTGTGTGCACAGATGGGAGCAGAGTGCCGTCCTGGCTTAGCAACAAGCTGCATCACCCCCAGCAGTCAGTGTCCTTTTGCTGCCCAGAAAAATGTCAGCTTTCCACCAGCCAGAAAAAAACGTACTGCTTATGAGGATTGCCATCAGCTCAACTCAGGGCTCTATGGTTGGAAGGTGAATAGGAAACAGTGTAGGAGAAAGCCATCAAAGAGATACGGTCAGATCCCATTCCTACTTTGCACAACTCCATCTCAGTCCGTTCGAAATGCAGAAAGCAGCACCAGCTTCCCAGCAAGGAGGTGGGCTCAGCACAAAACCTGTGTGTGCCAACACATGGCTGTGAATGCAGCTGCTCTTCTCTCCTGTTCTATTTTCCAAGGAGTGAGTTCAATTCTGCTTTGAGAATTTCCTAAAAAACAACCAACCAACCTGAGATTCCAAGCAGGATGCAAGTGAAATGATGCACGGTTGTTGTTGGCTGAGCAGTTTGCCTGGGCAGGACTGAGCTGCTAACATAAGTCCAATGAGACAGACGGATGTTGGAGGCCGCAGCACACCGCTGCAGTGTGACTCCTCTTCAGGAGCCTCCCTCCCATCTTCTGTGGAATGGAATTGATTTTAGCTGCTGGCAGCAAGAGATGGGATCCTCTCTGTGACCGCCTCCAACTCGTGCAGGGTTAGCAACCATCCATCCTTTGCATGCACCCTGCCCCCAGCGTCCCACACCCAGCAGCAGCTCTGCCTGCCCGGCTTCCCGCAGCCCCCAGGGCTGGCTGGTGCTGCTGCCCGAGCTCAGCACTACAGAACTGATTGAAGGGTGCTGTGCTCTGATCGAAACTTCACCACCTGATGTCACTGGCATCACTGCAAACACCCTTGGGTGCCTGTGAGACCCAAAACGCCCCTCTGGGCCACTGCTAACTGCAGCTCCTTCATCTTCGTACCCCTTGTTCTCATTTTAGATGTCAGAGATTGAATCCCAGCATAACCCCTGTGGGGTCGGTGAGCAGTAAAAGCCATCAGGGCTGCTGCTTGGCTCTGCTGACCCGGGGCAGAAGGAGCACAGAACTGGACACGACACCATTCGCTCCGATCAGACAGGGCCAAGCAAATTGCTGGCAGTTATGATTCAGCACGTCTTTGGTGCAGAGCTGCTGAGGTAAGAGTTTCTACAGCAACCCGCTTCCTCATGCATATGATGCTCTCTCTTACACGTGTTCCCAACCCTGGCTTTTAATCAGACAGTACAGCTAATACAGTGCAAATGAAGTGCACCTTGAGCTATGTGATGAATCTCATTTGCTCTTTCCTATTCCTTAGTCAGGCAAAAATCCCACTAACTGATCACTGATTCAATTTAAGACTGGAAAGGAAAATGGGGAGAGACTGCTGGAGCTGTCTGATGCTAGCAGCATATATCACCAATTTGCACATATGCTTTTGTCACAACATAATGAGAATATCTATTGCAACAGCCAGCAAAGGAAGCATCCTGTTCTTTGAAAGGACCTGAAATCTGCATTTCCTGTGTTCTACAATTATTATGCAATATCTATCACGCCTTCAGACTGTTTCATCCCTAACTTTTAACTTACAAACTGAGATTAAAGTGGGACAGACAACCCCTCATCTTATTCTTAAGCAGCCACCAGGTTGCTTTTTTCCCATCACTACTGAAACCAGCATGTTTCCTGCCACAAGAGAGCACAAGGTGTATTTGGGTTTCATCACCAAAAAGGTCACTAGTCCTGCTTTGCTGGATGCTGGCTTGCTCTTATCATCTAACCACTGGTATTTTTTCATAGCTAGAAAGTTTGGGAACAG